CGTCGACTAGCCGAGACACCAAGACGCTTCGCCGTTAAAATTGACCTGAGCTGAGCATTAGCTTCAATGCATAGTTGATACCGGCTTGTGAAAGACAGACACAGAGCTCTACTACCTAAAGGTAGCATATACAGTAAATCTAATTCAGACGAATCTCGCCATCTCGTCTCGTCGTATGGCACCGGGTTGGCGGATTTTGAAAATTAAGAATGTAAAACTTGGCCATTACATTATGCTTTTCGAAAGGCCTTAGGTTTTGCTTCTTCGTTAGGTGCCTGAGCTCTCACTTACAACTACGCGAGTGCATCTCCGCTAGTACGCGCGCTGCGATTGGCGGAGCCGTCTTTAACAAGGCGTCATAGTCTCTCTCCAACATGTCTCGTCAATCGATCGCGTATGCGCGTTGCGTCATGACACGAGTTCTTGCTTGCGAAGTATTCAGATTTTTTTAACTCGCCGTGGGCAAAAGGTAGCAGTATCTGTGCAAGGAACGTCCGTGCTTCCAGAAGCTCGAGTGTGCACGTTGCAGTGCCACCGAAATCGATCGTCGGGCAGGTGAAGGCAAATGAAAACGCGATGCCTCACCATGGGAGCGAGCAGTTGGAAGTGCTCTATCTTTATCTCTCTCTATCTCTGTCTCTGTCTCTCTGTATATATATATATATATATATATATATATATATATATATATATATATATATATATATATATATATATATATATATATATATGTGTGTGTGTGTGTGTGTGTGTGTGTGTGTGCGTGTGTGTGTGTGTGTGTAAGGGCCGCCAAAAGCGCGACACTTAAGATTTTCGCCTCGAACGTCATATTAGAAGCGTGTCTATAGCCAAAATTTGCTTTTGTTTTTATTTTATTGTGAAGCAAGTTAGCCGCTGACGGAGAGGGCCAGGGACCACAACCACGTGGTCCCTCCGATGAGGTTATTGGCGGCGAGCTCGTGCACAGCCACCGCCTAGTGGTCAGTGGGTGAACCAAGCGTAGTGTGTATGGCTCCTTGCGTCGTGTGCTAACCGCGACGTGATCTCATGTGTGCATACGGCGTGCATATCATCAAAGGACAGCTTATTTTGTCGTGCTTTTTTGAGAGCTCTGAACAAGACCAACAACTGAGGGCGATGCAGCAGGCCAAGCAAGCTGCTGAGAGGCACGGTCTGTCTGTCGGCTGCTAGGCAGCGGTACCCAGCCCGGAAACCTGGAAATTCGCAGGAACTGGATAAAGCTATCCGCTCCCTCACTGAATAAATCGGACAAATGCATCGCACTTTTTATTCTTTAAAAGATGCTCCAGTGCAGCGGGTGGTGTACGCGTTTGTATACGACGTAGAGGACGCATCCAATGAGAAGCAGTTATACACATGAGCAATATGGATTTTCGTTTCACGTAGCCATGTACAGCTTTCGTTGCAACAGATCCCCCAGATCCCACGCAGCGCGGGTACCAATTCAATGCGAAGCAGCCAACGAATTGGTGCTTATGGTGCCATATTTATTTATTTATTTATTTATTTATTTATTTATTTATTTATTTATTTATTTATTTATTTATTTATTTATTTATTTATTCAATGATTTAAGCGTGGTTGCTAGTTAGATCAATGCTTAGTGTAAATCGAATAGCGTGCAGATTGTAGGCTTATACAGGCCCGTTGACAACTCTGGCATCTATAGGTTATGGTCCGCCGTATAACGTCACCACTCACTTTAAAGCAAAGACGCCAGTTTTGTCGAAATGGACTGCACGCTGTGTCATGATGACGCGCATTCCATAATTAGCAATCGTTAGAATATTCTTCCAGAGTCGAATGTCACCCGAGTATCGCTTTTTGACACACGCATTCACTGCTTATCACATTTTATGAAAGCTGATAGCCAACCACGCAACCAGAATGGTCGTTGTCTGGACACCACGACTGTATAATTCACAAGTAGTTTCAAGCTCTTTCGTGGCTCAGCGATATAATACTTGACTGCGACGCAGCAAGCCTTCGTTCGATTGCGGCTCAAATCAAGATTTTTCATCATTTGTGTCCAATGGAATTTTTCACTCACGGACATCGCCTCTAATGCTGGTACCGGATTTTTCGTTGACACGGGCTCCTTAACACCATCGCGTTAAGAACTGTAATGTCTATTTTCTCCATTGCTCGGTTGTCTTAAACACAGCAGCATTTGCACTTCCCGGGTCATTATTTGTGAATGTGAGCCACACGTGACTAGAAAAGGGGTTTAATGACGTGCGCTACAGGCACGTCATGTTATTCATGTGGACTGTCATTCAGGTTGTTGATACGTAGACCCCATGCTAATATTAGTATATACCAAGGAAAGCATGGTTATTTGACAGTGCCGAGTCCAGTTCAGTTAAAAAAACTTTACTACGAGGGAATTCGGAGCCTCCTAGGGCACTTTGGTCCCCACACTCGCACGTTTCTGCCTAACAAGGCCATCATGTTGGCAGCCCAGCTGGCGGCGACCTTCTGCCTTGCCGGGTCCGTTTAGCGTAGTGAGGTATTTCAGTCCTCCCTGGTTTTAAGTGGCACCGGCCCACCGGAAGGGGGAGAAAGCTGAGAGGCCAGGAGAAGGTAGGTTAGATATGATGAAAGAAACGGGCGAGGTATCGCTGTTACGATGATAAATGCTTCAAATTAAAAAAAAACTGCACTCTAGTTTCAATAACAGTAAGCCTAGGTTAATTTCAGTGATTTGAACCTTTGCCCACTGGCACGCATTTGCATTTAAATGCCCTCATGACGTCATATTCTGGCCGATGCAGAAAGCTAGGCATGACTAACGTAGTGCCCGCATGCCTCTGGCGGCTCGAAATCTATCTTTTTCTGCATGTGTACCCAAAACACGCTGCTCTTGTTATAGAGCACCAGCCTGCTTACATGTAACAATGCAGGGGAATCAAAGGTTATAAATTCTGCTTCTAACTACTCTAACTTTTTCTGTCAACAACAGTTTCTGCTACAGCTTTGCTTGGTTCGTCAACCGATTTATCGAAATTTTATTGAGAGAGAGAGAGAAAGAGAGAGAGATGCAAGGAAAGGCAGAAAGGTTAACCAGACGCACATCCGGTTTGCTACCCTGCACTGAGGAAGGGATGAAGGGGAGAATAGAGGTTGCAGAGAGATAAGAAGGTACACACAATCACGAGCACACTCGGGGGAGCACACATAGTCTACAGGCGGTCGCTCGGTTTGTTGACTTCAAGTAAAGTAGGAGTGCTTTAGTCGCTTTCTGCGCAACTGAGGATGATGCCCCTAGGTCCCAGAATCTTCTGCACACAGAATGGTCTAGAGTCAAGTTGATTCAAAACCATTAGGAGCTGGCATCGCTGCGTGTCGTAGCAAGCGCAGCTGCACAGTACGTGTTGAATGGTCTCTTCCGCTCCGCAGTAGTCGCATGTAGAGGTGTCTGCCATACCAATGCGAAAGGAGTACACCTTTGTGAATGCAACACCCAACCAAAAGCGGCATAACAGTGTCGCGTCGGAGCGGGAAAGTTGTGATGGTAGCTGTATCTTGAGCGAAGGATCAAGTTCATATAAGTGACAACTGTGGAAGCTGGTGGATGACCAGAACGTGCGTGTAAGATCTCGAGCCAGCAGGTAAAGTTGTCTTGCTGCATCATTGCTTGATAGAGGAATCGGGACTACACGGGTTTCTTCATGGGCTGAGCGGGTTGCATCATCGGCTAATTTATTTCCGGTAATGCCGATATGTCCAGGTAGCCATTGATATATAATATCATGCCCTCGTGCTAGAGCTTCATGATGGCAATGTCTTATTTCATCTACCAATGGTTTATGATTCCTATACTACGCATGGCAAACTGCAAACTCTGAAGTGCTGCCTTCGAATCACAGAATATGACCCATTTTCCTGGACGCTCTTGAACGAGATATTGTAAAGCAGCCCTTATAGCAGCAAGCTCTGATGCCCTAGATGAAGTCATATGCGACAACCTAAATATATTGCCATTGCTGCAGCCGGAATTACAGTGGCACCTGATGAGCTTCTGGACGAGACGGACCCATCAGTGTATATCTGTGTTCGGTCCAAGTACAACTCATGTAATAATAGCAGTATTGCTTGCTTCAATGCTACTCTGGAGTGATTGTTTTCTTTTTGATACCAGGAATTTCTAGACGTATCTCGGCTGGTCGAGGCACCACAAAGGACATGCAATTTTCGTAGCTGGCGTATATCCTGATGGAATGCTGTTTAGGTGCTTGGCTATGACGTCTGAAAACGTGGCACGTGGTCTTTCGTAGGGTAGAAGGGCCAAGTGTTGGTCGGGGACACGGCTAGCATGTCGAATGTGCGCTCTGAGGCAATCCACAACTCTATATTTCCTGACCGGATGGTCTTTGGCAAGCACGATTGTGGTATAAGTAGAAGCGCATCGAGGCAGTCCTAGGCAGATACGCAGCGCCTCACCCTGCAAACTTTCCAATGAATGAGTATTGGATTTGCAACTGTTAGTCAGTACCGGCAAGCTGTAGCGTAATAGACCCAGAAATAGGGCCCTGTACAGCTGTAGCATGGAGGCCACAGAAGTTCCCCATGCTTTCCCGCACATGAATTTGATTATATGCATGTGACGTATGAAGTGATGGTTGGTAGAGGTAGAAGAGGAAAAAGTCAGAATAGAATAAACATGGCGTATGAGCCAGGCCACGTCTCTCATTCATCATAGCGTCACACGAGTCAACAGGATGTTCTGTTCTGTTCTGTTTTAACTGTTTTGCTGTGGAGAGGTTGAGGTGCCTATTGCCTCGGCTACTCCATATCACAAAGTTCTGCAGCGAAAAATAAAATAATAATACTCGACAGGATGAAGACCTGGCCACCGCTCATCAACCTCACATCATTCACGAAGCCGCCAGCAGTACGCCTCAACTGAATATCGGCCACAGAAGAGGTGATCTCAGGCGCATGCAGTTTCCGGCATTATGACAGAACCATCGACTGACCTTCCCATCCCCAAGTACGCCGGAGCAGCGGACGGTGAACCTGTACAGGACTAGTTCGACCTGTTCGAGCTCCATGCTACCACTGCATGTTGGTCGGAACGGGAGATAGTCACAAACTTCAGCGACTACGTCACCGGTGAGGCATTTAAATTTTACCTCACCCACATATTCGACAACGACGAGTCTTGGCAATAGATAAAAGAAGAAATGATCACCTGGTTTCAAGAATATAATGAAGATTCGATCAGAAAACGCACTGTCAGTGCATTCGAACTCGGTCATCGTAGTCATAAGCAGCCTTCGCGCATTAGAGCACAGAGCATGAATTTACAATTCCCGTCAGGTGAAGTTAGCCACATGCTCACGGAAAGACCACGCGGTCGTTTTCCCAACCTTCCACCTGTCTCCTCATCCGAGCAAATATCGCCAGTGCTTAACTCTCCTCTGCATAGAAGAATGCAATCCACTATTGATGACCCAGATGAATTCAATACTTCGTGGTGCATGCGTACTTTGCAAACTGACTTGGTATTCAGCTCAGCAGTTCTACAATGACAGAAGCATTCACAATCAGCATATTGTGAAGAAAAGTCTTCTGCAGAAGCGTCTAAGGTTCATCAATCACAAGGTCGACGCGACGGCAATCCAGTATACAACGTCACTGCCAACACTGAAAACAAAAGCGCAGGTGCGACTTCTGGTGACACAAGTACTCTTCAGGCAACCACCAACAATGAGCGGTTCATAAATACAGACGATTCAAGTGCACGAAACATCCTACAGTGTCATGCGCCAGAAACAGCTGCATTTGTTGGCGTTGTAGGAGCCTGCGGAGGAGTTGCTAAGAATCCTGGCAGACCACGATCAATGTCACACCACAAGCAAGCCGACGAAACCAAGAAACTACAACGTCAACGTATACTTCAACATTGTCAGCGACGAAAGAAAACTTTATCGAAACCACTCTTAAGGCTCAAAGAACATTGCGAAAAGGCCCATCGTTGTGGATACATTCTCCACCAGAGATCAAAAATGCGCCTTCGATCAAAACAACTGCGACACCGCTATAGAAAAATCTCCAAAAGCCACAAAAGCACCTCTTGTACTCGGCAGAAACACAGGCAGCGGCCAATCAACGTCGATAAACGCGCACAAAAGCTGCCTGCACGGCCTGTGTATCAACCACGACGAGGTATTCGATGCCTACAATATCAGAACTGTCGATTCTGCAAGATGTTCGAACCTCGTTCGTTCTTCACAAGAATGCCAGCTGTGATTACCCCTGTCTCCACGTCCAAAGCATTTTTGTGTTATCCAGGACGCAACCACCAGCCGCGCCCACCAGAACTCCTGCGTTAACCGGACTGATGCACTCTCCCCTGAAGTCTTTGGAAGTTTACGGAACTCCCCTGGAGCGAAGAACCAATTGTGAACTTTGATATTTGTGTTTTTAACCCCTCATTGTTTACTTTTTATTGTTCGTAATCGACGCTTTCCTTCGGGGGGGAGGGGGAATCGTGTGAAGTATGAAGTGATGGTGGGTAGAGGTAGAAGAGGAAGAAGTCAGAATGGAATAAACATGACGTATGAGCTAGGCCACGTTTCCCATTCATCATAGCGTCACATGCACAATTGATGGCAGTCTCTTCTTCAAGTACGCTCAATGCGGGCTCCACGAAAGACTTCTGTCGAATATTATGCCCAAGAAACGATGCATCCGTGCATATTTGACACTCTGCCCATTGTAGTAAACAGGGTATGGCGTCATTGGTTTGCGTGTAAACGTCATCAACGCGCACTTCACAGTTGATATACTAGGCCTTGTTTCTGAAGGTATATGCTGTTGTGAGGGTTGCCGCCCGCTGTATTCGTGCACGCACCTGAGGGCGAGTAACTGCAGTACTCCAGAGGCAAATATCATCGGCGTATATGGATAGGCACACCGACTTTGACAGAACCTTCGCCAGACCAATGAGGGCAACATTGAACAATGTGGGGCTTAAAACACCTACTTGAGGTACTCCGCAGTAGGTATAATGTTCAGCAATTTTACCCTCATCTGTTTGCTTAAAAAAAAACTCTGCCAGTTATATAATCTTTTATTCATTGAAACAATCGTCCACCAATGCCCATTGCTGCGAGAGAAGTGAGGATAGCATCGTGAGCTACATTATCATATGCACCCTTCACGTTAAAAAAGAGTGCCACTGATATATGCTTGTGACTTTTTACTTGCTGAACAAATGTCGATAAGTCAAGGACACAGTCGACGGAGGAGCGGACCCGACGAAAGCCTGCCATGCAGGAAGGGTATTTGGTGTATCGTTCCAAGTATCACTCGAGACGAAATAGAACCATTCTTTCCATCACCTTTCCGAGGCAGCTTGCGAGGGCAATAGGGTGATACGTTGTTAAGTCCAATGATGATTTTCCCGATTTCAGAAGTGGTAATTATCGACTTATTTTCTATTCTCGCGGAACACTGCTGCTGAGACAGGAGTTGTTGAAGCTTGTTAAAAGTTCTCTTCTGGCTTTTTGTCCAAGGTGTCCCAACGAACTATAAGTAATACCATCAGGACCTGGCGATGACGCGCGCTTAGAAGTGACTAACGCACCTTCCAGTTCTTCCATGGTGAATGGAATTTCCATTTCTGGTAATCGCGTCTCAGGAACGATCACGGTGTCGATGCTCTCGTTCATAATATTGCCGGCAACTCTCGTGCAAAATTCTTCAGCCACCTCAAGTTCTGTTTTTCCATTATGGAGTGCCAAAGCTTTAAAAGGGTGCCGTTGTTGCGGAGAGGAGCGAAGACCACGAACTGCTCTCCAGATATATGACAGCGCTTTATGAGGGTCTAGAGATTCGCAGAATGCTTTCCAGCGTTCGCTTTCCAGCTTGTAAATGCGTCGTTGAATCTTTTTCTTGAGCCGTCTTGCTTCCCTCAGGTCGTAAATTTATCTTGTGCGTCTGTATCGTCGTTCAGCACGCCTTCGTATAGCTCGTAATCTTTACAGTTCCATGTCGAACTGTGTGATTTTATACGAGAATGATAATTTACATTTGGACGCTTGCATAGCTTCCGCGATGGTATTTCCAGGCTGCAGGCAAGGCCTTCTTGGCAAGCGTCCTCAACACGCGATGTAAACATCGACCAGCCAGTGTAAATTACAACACCGGAAGAGAATTTTTTTTTATGATACCATCGATCTTTATTAAGGTGGGTATGTGATCACTCCCATGAATCTCAATATCGCAAAACCATTTAACTTTGTGAGAGAAGCACCGCGACACCAATGTCAGGTCAAGGCATATGCCATACGTGAGACCCCACAGATATGTTGGAGTACCATCGTTCATGATGGAAAGGTCGTAGTCGGAAACGAATGTAACAATGTTCCGGCCCCTGTCATTCATCCTAGTGCTCCCCCAAAGCATGTGATGGGCGTTGAAGTCACCGGTGATGATCCAAGTCCCATCGGTCCTCATTAGAATGTCTTTTAGTCTCTCGCAGTCAACTCGCGATGACGGAGATATATATCCACCAATAAGCGTGAACGAAACTGCATTCTTCTTTACACGAAGACACACGTACTGATTGTCGTCATTTGAACTTATTGGATGCGAAAGATAAGTCAAGTCCGTGTGGATGTAAAGAATTACTACGCTTCGTTCTTCGCAAACGGCTGAACAAAAAGCTTCATAATCGCACAATCTATAAGGCGTTGATACATTTGAATCACATATGACAAGTATAGGAAATTGATTGGCCCGAAAAAATTGGCGAAAGTCCGAGATACGGTACTTCATGCATCTGGCATTCCATTGAAAATCATTGAAATTGAATTATGGAAATGGCAAGTATACATATAGTCCCGCCATGGTGGTCTAGTGGCTAACGTACTCGGCTGTTGACCCGCAAGTCGCGGGATTGATTCCCGGTTACGGCGGCTGCATTTCTGATGGAGGTGAAAATGCTGTAGGCCCATGTGCTGAAATTTGGGTGCACTTTAAAGAACACCAGGCAGTCCAAATTTCCGGAGCCCTACACTATAGCGTCTCTCATTATGATATGGTGGTTTTGGGACGTTAAACCCCAGGGGAGGAGGAAGCAACAAAAGGAAGAAAAGCAGGGAGGTTAACCAGAAATACATCTGGTTGGCTATCCTACACTGGGGGATTAGGGAAGCTTTCCGCCGAGGCGGTGTCGTACCCAATGAAGTGAGTTAAACCCCAAATATCTATCACTATACCTACGCTAAATACGTTCGTGCACACCTATTGCTGCAAGCTACAGGCTACAGCAAAGTTCTAGTTTTTTTTTTCCATCTGTGTTTTTTTCAGACAATAAAGATATTTTAAAAAAATGCGCTTCCCTGTACAAGCTCGTCAAACCTGATTTCATGAGGCTAGAAAAAATATCCCAATTAGCTGATTGCTGAATTATCAAAAGTACAAAAAAACAATGAACGAGTGTCCTTTACATCAATACACTTTCTATTTATTGGTTAATACGTAAATTCTGTACTTATGTAGGTGAAGGGCACTTTAAAAGAACATGTTTTATACGGTAACTCACTTCTTATTTCGCGACAACATATGCCATCAGAAAAGCACCGGCATCTTCAATAACATTTCTATGCTTGCTTGATTGAACTCTGCCCTCTAGATGGCACCACCTATTCGGCCCCTCATCCTTACGGCTAGGTTATTTATTAAAGCGCTACTACAGGGAGGTGTTTGCGAATTAACTAAAACTCTTTTATAGTAGCCAAAATTGTGCTCCGTATAGATTGTCCGAGTCACAGTTTTTCTCATATAGAGGCTAACAGGCGCTTTTAAAAAAAAAGTGCAGTAAAGAATGAATGTATGCGGCCTGGCAATGTGAGGTGCATCATCGAAGAAAAACAACGTAAACGAAATGGTTGTATTGACTAGTTTATTTCACAAACAACCATTGAAAACATCTTTGTGGCAAAATGACTTTTGCGGTAACATTTGTGGTAAACATTCTGTGATAAAATGAAATGAGATAAAAGGCTGCAAAGAACCTTTCAAATCATTAACCACTTTATATATAACCG